TTTGGAATACTAGCCCAATGCCCTGCCATCTGAGCTACGCGGTCAGGTCGGTTCGAGTACGCGATATTTCGGAACTGAGTCTAGTTCCTTCGATATCAGTGTAATCTAATAATCATGATATTTGAACTAGAATGAACTAGACTCAGTTCCGAAATATATGCATACTCGAACCGACCGGACCGCGTAGCTCAGATGGCAGAGCATTGGGCTAGTATTCCAAAGGTCGTAGGTTCGATTCAAGTAACATCACACAAGCATCTTATTCACCTGAGTACATTACACCGACACGGCAAATATCAGTATCAAGTTCATTCAATTTCAAACGATCTTTAATGATCAGGAAAAAAAATTTGGGACACGATTCATTCCAGGTAGTCGAGGTGTCCCGGCTTACTAGTAATGAACAGCCTCCTGAGTCCTGGGTTACAAATTACAGGGAAAACACTAAGCCAAAGAAATGTCATGATTATGATCTGTTCAGTTTACTGTAACATTGCTACTTTGGGTGTTGTTCGGGTCCGGGAACATTTAATTGCGATCTTGCATTAATTACGCATGGACTCGCATGGTATTCAAAGTATATAGATCAGACAATGGTATTCAGTAAATTTTGTAAAATAAATCTTTAAAATCTCACAATTGAAGACACATCGTTTATAAGTGACAACAATAGTCAGGTTAAAAAAATGAATCTTACTGTATACACTATCGTAATGTTTCTGTTAAGATAGAAAAATTGTAATTATGAATCTTTCCAATCCCAAAATAGTCTGAAAGTTGTAGAAGCATACTATATGTATTTGAACAACACACTATAAATCTATGATAGTTATCGAATGATACACTATATATAAATCTATGATAGTTCAGGGATGGATTTACTGGGGGGGTGCACACCGCCCCCTAGCCCTAGCCAGGAGGGGTGCAGGGGGGGGTGCTATTTTTTATGATAAAGCAAAAAATTATCAGAGACAAAATGAGATTCAGTAATTTGAGTAATAACATGATGATAAGCGAACTGTGAACAACAATTACAATTCAAATACTGTAGCTAGACTTTGCAGTGGTTAAAGGCACAGTTCAGCCTTTTGAAAGATGGTTTTTAAGGCGCATTTCAGCCCTTTTAATTGAAAAAACTAACTAGGAAAATCAATTAAGCATAATTAAAAATCAGTAAACTCGATGTTTTTAACAATAAAAATGTTTTAAAATGTTAAAAACATTAAGTTTGGTGATCTTGAATTATGCTTAATTGATTTTCCTAGTTAGTTTTTTCAATTAAAAGGGCTGAAATGCGCCTTAAAACCATCGTTCAAAAGGCTGAACTGTGCCTTTAAGCAAGTTGATGGATGTGTAAAGTCACTGGAAAGCAATTGCAACGTACTCGTCCGGAAAAATTTTTTCCCTAAAGAGTTGTCGATGGGGGGGTTGTTGCTTTCCGAAAAAATTTTTTGGCGGAGCACCCCCCCTACCAGACCATGCTGGATCCATCCCTGTGATAGTTACTTTAATACTGACATATATTCACTATACTCTCATCAATTTTAGTGCGACTAGCTGACACATTAAATATACTTGAGCAATGTGGAACCACTTTTAAATTTTACAGTAGATCTGTACATGACCCCCCCCCCCCCCCCACCCCAAAAAATTGTCTGATTTTCATTCCATTGAATGCCAGTGCTCTGCCCTTTAGTAAAGTCGTCTGGCAGTAGACTGAGTAAAGGCGGATTTCCAGTCCTCGCATGAAGCTCCTTGCAGAGTGCATGCATGAGCACTTTCATCCAATCACAATGCTAAACAGTTAATTTTAATTAGATGCAAGCACTCGCAGCGAGGAGCTTCGTGCAAGGACTGGAAATCCGCCTTAATGCAACTTAATGATTAATATTTTGCCAGTTGTTTTTCATAGCCCAATCGTTCAAGTTGTTCATATGTAACTTAATCCATATATGCACAGAAAGTGGTCCTACAGAAAGTTAAGTAGTCCTAGTAGTCCTCTAGTAGTCCTACAGAAAGTTAAGTTAAATTTGCATAATTATACTTCCAAATTTAAAAAATGCTGATAGATTGCCACGACTGCCTGCTTGCTTGTGAATTGTTTAATTATTAAACACAAAAAAATTGACATTCTGCATGTAATTGTTAACATTATAACTCTACGCTTTGGCTATTTATTTCCAGTCATCTTCACAAAAATGCACCATTCTTATAAAGCCAACTATAACTAAAAAGATGTTGAAGATGACTACAAATAAATAGTTGCAAAATGCAGAGAAAATGTTAAAAATTGTATATTGTTGTCTATTGTTTTGTGTTTATTAAAATTACTCTACAGTAGCTATGGCAACCATAATTTTTGGTCTACTTTAATTAAAAACTACATATGAGTGCTAAACAATGTCTCAGTGCTATATGTTTGTGCCTAAATTTTTATATCAAAGTTAATTTTTCTCGCTACCAAAAGCTCGTAGATGATAAATAAAATACTCCAGCTGATACATCATATTAGGGTTAATATAATGAAAAGTTATCGAATAGTCCGAACAACATTCAGGACCATCTTTATACGAATGGAAATTATAACTCCAGAGCCAGAAATCCTTGTTCAGGTAGCCCGGTATCAGATGATGTTCGGGCGGGAGGGGGTGGAACATCTCCCGCCCTCTTTCGTCTAGGGTGTTCTCCGCTAGGACGCCCATCTTCGCTAAGCATCGTCCGACTTCTACATCTTCAGCAAAACTAGCCTCTGGACAACGGGATTTGTCTTCGATTACCTCGCCGAACCGACGAACTGTTTCTCGGCTAAATACATAACCAGCTCCACCACTGTTATACGAACCAAATGGTTTAAACTTTCGACCAAAATAGTACGGCTTCTCCGAGTCATAATGTGACACAAAATGACGTAAATTCTCCACAACCGTGAAGGTGTCGTCGTCCGCCTTTAGGAACCAATCCGCGCGATAGAGATAGTGCTTTTGAACATACTTCCACGCCGCTTTTGTTTTTAACCATAAATTCTCTCGTCCTTCCGGTACTTTAAGTGCGACCGAGGGTAAGCTGTCATCAGTCTCCGAGCTCATAAATAGCAGGATATTACACCTCTTGCCCCAAGTTTCTTTGATAGGCTTACATTTAGTTTTATGATTCTTGGGATTGGTCATGACCCAACACAGAACTTTAGTATCAGTATACTCTTGTTGTGCTGCTTTATAATTCGAGCTATGATGATGATGCGTGTCGTTAGCATCCACGTTAAAGGATACGGCTTTCTCGACCACAACCTGACGGTTATTCGGAAGCACCCATTGGGCAGGTCTACTCACTTGGTTGTACATGTACATTAGAAAAATTCCAACGAAAACTCCAACGGACATTGATAAAATCGACTGCCGCATTTTGACACATACCTTACAAAGAAAGCTCTTTTTCTATTTATGTCTAATAACCCTTGTGTTTGTCTTTGTTATTACAAACGTGAACAATATGAACAAACGTGCTTTGAAGTGCTTTCAAGAAATATTTTAATACCATACCTGTTCTTTTTGTGTTTCCACAATAATAAAATTTCCTTTTACCTTAATATCGCCTGAATTTTAGCAATTCAGCTGCCAAATATATTAATTGGAAATACAAATATAATTTTTTTTGCTTTAATTTAGGGTATATTTTTGCAGTGAAATCGACTCAAATTCTACAGCTTCGAAATTGTTTCAGTTTTTGCAGTTTTCTGTGATTTTTTTTCTCAAACTTTTATTCATTTCCGAACTACCCTAAAATTTCCCTTCCATATTTCTTTTATAACCGCGAGCTTTCGATTTTACAGTAATTCCGGAAGAATTCTGAATGATGGAATTTATTGAGTTCAATCATGGCGGATCAAATTGAAAATGAGAAGAAAAAGCTTATTTCGTCTTTGATGAGAAAGATTCCTGACTTTCCCAAACCTGGAATACTATTTTGGTAAGATATTCTTTGCACTGCGCTTTGTATTACTGTAATGTTGTATTTGTATAAATTTCATTGCACTTCCACGCCATGTCAGATTGTCAGCTCGACCAGTGAGATGATATGTCTTGCACTTCGTCTTCGGTACCGGTAGCATTAAATTAAACATGTTCTATGACGTCTATCAGTGCTGTTGTTTCTCAAGACTGCTCAATGTTTTCACTAAGTCTTGCCCAATCAGGCTTTTCAATGTTGGTCATGCTATTAGAACTGTTCTATTTAGTGCTGCCAGGTGGGCGGGGGGGATCCGGAGTAGCCTTATTTTCAGTAAAAAGTACTATGAAACCTATTTCGCATGTGATAAGATAAACCATTTCATTTTCAGACAAATGATTTTCATAATAGAACCACAATAATTTCATTAAAGCGATTGAAAAATATGACAATCTTTCTGTCAAGTTGACGTCTCTGTTTTCAGATTCGATCATGGCTACTCTTTATCATGCGAAATGTTCTGTGTTGGTCTCCAGAGAAACCAGACAAGCTAAAAATGTCTAAATTGTTTTTATTAACTTGTTTAATGTCAGTGAAGAATGGCATTGAATATTTTTTCGATTGCTCTAACCATTCTGAAATTATTGCAGTTTTGTTATGAAAATCATCTGCCTCTTTCAGATTCGAAAATGAAAATGAAATTACAAATCTGAAAATAAGATTGTTTGTCTCCTTGTCTATTTAGCCCTTAACCCTTTGAGTGACAATGCACCCAGATGCGTCCTACTTTATTATTTTACTTTGTCTAACGCCAGACGATTTTATTCATCAGGGGGAGAGTGCTGCCACTAAATGGGTTAATTATAACATGGGTTGCGTATCACATCAGCTTTTTTGCTTCCAGTTGATGAGGTAGCAAATTTACAGTTTAATTTTCTATAGGGATATTTGTCCGCTTTTAAAACATCCTGAAGCTTTTTCAGCAGCTATTGATCTCTTGACCAGTCACATTAAAGACACATACCCAAATGTCGAGTTGATTGTTGGTAGGTTTATTGTAATATGCTGTTTCAATTATTGTTAACATAATCCTAATAAAGCTTGAAGTAAAATACATGAGCAACATTATAGTATGTCATCAATATTTGAATATTAGATTAGATATGAAATTGAGCAAAATTTTACATTTATTATTAAACTTTACTTTCAGAAAACTAAACTCATTGTGTCCCGTCATAGGTCTTGATGCCCGAGGTTTTCTGTTTGGTCCAGGAATCGCTATAAAACTTGGTGTAGGGTTTGTCCCTGTCAGAAAACAAGGCAAGCTGCCTGGAGAGACTGTCTCTATCCCATGTGAGAAAGAATATGGCAAGGTATTACTTCCACTCAAATCATTTACAAGAATATGTTGCTGCATTTTTATTGAGGGTTAGGTATAGTTACACCACCCCCCTCTTGCAATTTTCAGCATTCTTCTCTTGCCTGAAGACATATCGTCATATATGCAAATTAACGAGAAAATATCCATAACTTCCTCACAGAGGAAATTGGAAGTTGCCCCCTACCCCCTTTGGGTGTTGTAACACATTAAGAAATTTCCTCCTTTGGGGGGGGGGGGATCTTTTCCGGAATGACCCATAATGTCCATCAATGAATCATGTCAGTCTTAAGATTGATTTCTACAGGATATGTTAGAGATGCAAAAAGATGCAATTGCTTCTGGACAAAAAGTTGTCATTGTTGATGATTTGCTGGCAACTGGAGGTAATTGCTGACCAATACACACTTCTGGAAAGTATGGCACCTTGGCTATAGAACCTTGTTTGTTTTCGTGATTGAGAAGTTGAGTCCCCCCCAGTTCCGGCGTCCCTGCCTGAACCATCAAAATAAGTATATGTACAGTACATATCTATTATTATTATTATTATTTTAAATAACAATAACAACAGAAGACACAACAGTCAACAACTAGACCACCAAGTTAGAAATCAAAGGCAGGCTATTTTCAAGAAGGCAGATTCATAGTATTGAGCCTGTATTGAGTCATTGTTAGGCTGTTGCGGTATTTGAAAAAAAACGAAAACCAATACCGGAAAAAAAACCCCGATATATCGATATTTCTTCGCGATTGTATTTTGATTAATTTTATGCAAAAGTTTCTGTTTTCAAAAGATGCCAAACAGCCACGATATAACCCGACTCCTCGGGTGCGTTATATTTTCAATAAAGTGTGAGGCCAGTGATCAATAGCCTGTGAAATGTTCGCTTTAGGAATTGAAAATGCATATTACTTATTACTTATTAGCACTGATTTAGATCTCGCTCTAACCTTAATTTACGGATTTTACAGCAGAGTTAGCACATTGATCGTCTTTGTCCTTCTGAAATAACTCAGTGCTTGAAAAAGCTTGATATGACGTTTAAATATACAAACGTAAACGTGATATCGATAATACCGAAAAATATCGATATTCCGATATATCGAAAATTTCAATATCGAGTAATCGGTATTTATAAAAAACCGATAATTATCGGTATATCGATATACCGCAACAGCCTAGTCATAGTATTGTTTGAAATTTTATGATATCCACTTGAGGACACAAGTCATTCAGATTGGTATCCAAAACCAAATTTTATAGTATTCTGTGGATATCGAGATACTGCATTAAGGTTACAGAACACCTTTGAGTGTTAATTTTGCCTAAAATTTTTTATTGGTTTCAATGAAAGCATTAGACTAGTTCTACTATCTGACCAAGTTTGAACGAAAAATGTTGAAAACTCACAGAGTTATTTAATAAAATACATTTCGCTGCAATAAGAAAAACATTGAAAATGTAATATTCAAATTCAATTTTCTCCCGAAAAAGTTTACGGTAATTACCGATTTTCAAACGAGTTGTGCTCCTGCGGGTTTTAACCAATTTTTCTCAAATTTTCACAGGACATAGCTAAAGACGTCAGTTTCATAATTGTGTTCGGCTTTTTTTTAATTTTGGATATTTTAAAAATAAAGAGCAATTCACTCAAACAATTCAGAAATATATTGCAGTCGTCAAAGAAATCGCCATATCAGCGGAATGACAAAATAAACAAAAATTTCCGAACACAATTTTTGAGATCAACTATTTTGCTGTATAAAAATGATATTTTCATAAATATAACTTAAAACCAGCAGGAGCACAACTCAAAAGCGTAAAGGTACCGCGATTTAAGATTTTCCTGAATAATTCTTACATTATTTTATTGCTTGTTAATTTTACAACTTTACCATATTTTGCATGCACTGGAGAACATTTGGTGAAAATTTGGTGAAAATCGGACTGATATTGAGCGCGCAGTAGCGATTTTCCGCAAAACGCCAAAAAGGGTGTCCTGTAACCTTAAGGCACTCTGTTGTATTCTGTCTGACTGTATTCTCTCATTAAGGCACTTTGTTGACAAGTTGTAAGTTAGTGGAACAACAAGAAGGGATCGTACTAGGATGCGTTGTTTTATTTGAACTGACTGAACTAAATGGAGCTGGACGATTACCTGTCAAGTGCTTCTCACTATTACAAAGTTGAAACTTTGTCTGAGGTAAAAATTATTTTAAAGAATTTGTATAATTTTACTATATGGGAACTCAATTATTTCATCCAATCATATTCACATGATTGAAATAGTGTGGCATATACTTTGCTGAAAGATTTAATATACGCAATTTTGATAAATTAAATGAAATTACTATGACACAATTATAATGGTCACTATGACTGTGCCTTATAACTTAGAGAACATTGGGCACTGAAAATGAACAATTTTAACTAATATTAGTCAATATATTACCTAAGTATTGCAATGATTAAAATGTGATGTGGTTGGACAGAAATGATTAAATTAACCTTAAATTAACAGAAATTAAACTTAAATGCGCATGCTTTAAAATTTTACTGCAATGTAAAGTAATTAACTCTTTATATATACTATAATCCACAAACTTGTGCACGAGTTTAACTTCATAGTTTAAGAATGCCAGAATCCCTGGGTACGAGGTTGTCACTCACTCAGTAAAATTCATTGACCAGTCACTAACATTTTTAGTTTTATTTAACTGTACACATATTTTTTACATACATACATGCTCATGTTAACCGTAAGTTAACAAAGTGTTAAGGCGAATTTCCAGCCCTTGCACGAAGCTCCTCGCAGTTCGCTACGAGTGCTTGCATCTAATTAAAATTAACTGTTTAGCATTGTGATTGGTTGAAAGTGCTCATGCACGCACTCGCTGCGAGCTGCGAGGAGCTTCGTGCGAGGACTGAAAATCCGCCTTTACTTTCCTGTGATTATGTTATAAATTCGTTTTTCCTTAGGAATATAATTTTTTTCTTCTTTTCCAGAAAGGATTTACTTCCTTTTATATATAATGTGCTGTCTTAAAACTTGACACAAGTGCACAAACTACAATATATGTATACGTACACTGGAATTTTTTTCAAAATCCTTACTATTGAAATAGTTTGGAAATCCAATTTTCATACTAATTGCAATTTCCACACTGTATGGAAATAGCATGGATATACTATGGATTTACTGATTTAGTCGGATGCAACATCGCAAATTCCATACCATGAATTTCACTATTTTTTTCCAGTGATATACAGTATACTTAATTAAAATACTACTTTTGAATTTTTTTATTTGTCTGTCAAAAATTTAACAATCGTCAAAAACGTCTTGAACGTTGAGCGATTTGTTTAACAATCGTCAAAAACCAATGCAAAAAATCCCTGAGTATTTTGACTTGAAAATAATGTACCCACACAGTCGGTGACTCAAATTTTTTAGTAAAATTACCGACATTTACTCGCAAATTTACTTAAGTAAAGTTTCAAATTTGCGAATAAATTTCCTCATAAACTTTGAGTAACTTTACTCAATATTTTTGAGTCACAGTTGGTTCGTTATTTTGCTCAAGTTTTTTCAGTAAAATACTCGGGGTTTTTTTGCAGTATTTTGTTACCTAATGGTAAACCCCCAAGCTCTGGACTGGTTATATCACTTCGGTTAGTTACATAGAGGGGGGGGG